TTTCATAATCAGTGGAAATGTAAAAGCTGCATCCGCGCTTTATGATTTGGTACAGTCGGATTTTGAGATTCGCACTCACGTGTGTGTGTGAGCGCGCGCGAGGAAAATAATAATTGTTTTCGCATAGGAGAACAATTTTCGAATTTTCATGAAAACGATTTTAACCACAAAAGCTGAAATATTATATGTTTTAAGCCGACGGCAATATTACGAAATATTGTAATTTTGTAACAATCATACTTGTTCCATATTTATTTCGCTTCAATCGATACAAAACTCGGTGGAACACTTAAAATCAACTATATATTGTATTTATTCATCGAATTTGCTGCTACGATAAATATTGAAGTCCACAGTCTGTTTAAACCTCAGTGCTTCGTCAAATACACAATAAAAACTAAAATAATCCCAGACCAAGCGTGTACGTCATCACACACCGGCCACTGCATTTCAGAATTTAATATCGATATAAAAATCGTTCGATTGAAAATTGCGAGAAATTTCTGCGCTTACGCAAGTTCAAATTAATAAACTGGTACTATTTGCTCACGCTTTCATAGTTCACTTGACGTACCAATTCCATTGATTTATTTTCAATATACCAAATCTGATTAAAATGTACCAATTAACGAAATACACACACTTATCGCTCCATCGTTTTACATTCTCGGTAATTTTAACAAATGTTTAGAGTTTTTGATTGTATATAAATGCATTCAATACGTTTGGATATTTCAGAAAGCGTAACTAGCAGCACTTGTGTATTTTAATGTCTGTATTGAAAAAGAGAATCAACCTCGTTTAAAATAAGCTTTTCACACTTTTGTGTGATATCCCGGATATAGCTCGCATTAATTTGAGGTTTGAACTAAACGTATGATTTTACTGGCTAGATAGCGGCTGCTGGCAAACCCAACCGATCTGAATGGATGCGTCTGCAGCATATTATAAAAAATAGAAATGATTGTTCTAGTGAGTTTACTGTGTGCAGCCATTGTTTATAATATGCATCCACTCAGCCCGGCTGGGCAACCGCTATCTAGCCAACAGAATCATTCGTCTGGTTCGAACTGCACATTGTTTGATTTGTTTTGCAAAAGTGTAGTCTCATTTTTCACTATCAAAAAGAAAGATGAGATCTCCTTGCGTTCTCAACGATTTCAAAGAGTCGACATCATTTGCAAATATCGAATATGGCATTGTATTTCATTTGCATGGCATCTCTCAATAGAATCATAGAATCAAGGTAGATTATCTTGCAGAAAACCAATCGATGATGATTGGCATGGCATTGAATACCTATCTTGATACATATATCGAAATTAGATTTGTTGTTGTTGCATTTTATTTGCATGTTTCACGTCGAATACTTGTCGATTTCAAACCAAAGCAAATCAACAAAATGCGTATTTGGTTGCATCTAGGGGATAGACACAAACTCGAAAACTAGGAAAAATCAGAATTGATAAAATCATCATTCGTGTCCCTACCCCAGGGTTGCCTTCACAATTGAAACCGTTATTTCATCCATTATTTATGAGAACAAAGGAAAATTCCACTTGATATGGTAAATTAACGAGAATTGAATGGCTCATGGCCTTAAAATATATTCAAATGCAGTTGTACTCTGATACTCTTAGATGCTCTGTGCAAAATGAATTCCGCATCCATTTAAAACAGACGACATATTTTGGGGATGGTAACATTCATTTCGCTCATAATGTGATGAAATCGGTTTAGAAAATATTTGAAAGCAGTAACACGAATCGTGTTTTTTTTTACATGAAATGTTTCCAACTATACAATGTGTCAAAATATAAAGAAATACTCCAAGCAGTACCAAAAGTGGACTGGGCATTTTCAATTTGAGTCTGTTTTATAAGAAAGTAGTTGGTCGACGCAAAGGCGTGGTTCGAGCCCCCTCAGTCAATAGCAGATTAATCTCCATTTCAAATAGACCCCAATGCAAATATCAAAGCCGTTATTTCAAATGCAGTTATTTTTGTTGAAAAGCAGTCATAGAACAAGTGAATTCCATTCAGTTCAATAGTTGTGTGCATATCGATGGTAAATTCCGTAAATTCTATCCGAAAGCATGTGTGGTTGAAATGAATTCGGTATATCGATTGTCGTTCTGTGTTTATATTTCGCTGTAATTTGATCGAAAGTTCAAATGCAAAACCAAAAACGTTTCGAATGGAAAATACCGATAGTGAAAGAGCACAGAACCGTCATAACCATACCATAAAAAGAAGATTTAAAATGATTTCATTTTTCTCTCTGTATAAATTATCATGGTTAAAAGTATTTTCCACAAAAATAAAACACCAACCAAGTGTAGAGTGAATAAGCGAAAAGAGGAATCAATAACAAACGAGTCTCATTTGTTTGATACAAAAAACACAACCTTAATAAACTATAAAATCATTTACGTCATCTAAATATACGCTGTTCACGTTCAATTCTTCATGGAATAGCGGAAAATTGTGAAAAAAAAGTGTACGGCAAATAAAATTAATTCCACTAGGTAGCAAAAACCGTCAGTCCAGAAGTGGTTTGCATGTTAACTTCCATTTGAACGATATTGCTTTCAACCACCTCAAAATGAATTAAATTTCCCAAAAAAACCACTTGAACATTGACTATAGGCACAAAGGCATATCAAATAAATTCGATTCGTTCTATTTTTATATTTATATGTGAATGCGACGATTCATTTACATTCATCGTCGTCATCTCGATTAATTTTAACAAAAATGTTAAATTCCATTTGGGCATTTAATTATAATTGTGTCGGTGGTGGTGTAATAACCTTTTGTGCCGACGACTGTCGCGGATTGCGGACTGCGAGGCGATTGAATGATTAAAACTTGATTTATTGATGTAAAAATAATGAAATAAATGTGGAATAATATAAAAATATGTTGCGCTCAATGATGTAGCACAGGAAAACGGCTTGATTTATGCCATAAAACGTATGCGCATACGCATTTCAGGAAGATAACCATTCGCATCGAACAGAGTTTTTCATTTTTTTTAAATATAATTTATAAGCACTTTGTGCATCAATCTTTGGAAAAAAAGCAGGCACTGAACAGGTATGAACTACTAGTGTTCACTTTATCAAACAACAAACTTGTAATATTGAAAAATTCAGAGCATTTACAATTCATTTCATTTAATGCGTGTATTTCGTACATTTTTGATAAGGTACATTTGATTCGTGCTGCTTTCCGACTTCGTCGTATAAATCATCTTATTTGCATTGAAATGTTCTAATTACGTCGTCTCAATGCCCACACATATTTTGCCCACTTTCAAAATTATTTTGACCAGATGAACCGTTTGCAACGCACTCTTTTCCTTCGGCGTGCTTAATAAATAAAAACAGCAAAAAAGCGCACGTAACAAACGAACGAAAATGTGTGTGCGCATAAATAATTGGAAACGACTAAAAGTTCTGGAATTGTTATTGTTGCTAAAAGCTCAACAGCACAAACAATGGATGGAACAGACATTTCTTTTTCTCAGCCGAATAGAAGAGCGAAAAAAAAGAGAAAAAGAAGCATATTTAATGGGCACACAACACGCAATGAAAAGTTATGATAATACGAAATGGTGATTGAGCTAACGCAACCCCTCCCGAACCAAAAAATAAACGCGTGTAAACAAAGTAGCCAAATTTTGCGCTAAACTTATGCTAATGGGATTCATTAAAAACGAAAAAAGCGCACGCAAACACACAACCAAAACTGTGCTCGTTTGGTCGAAAATGTTTTATCGGAGGGTGCATACAAAACGACGATTGATCTCGGTTCATTACAAGCATTACTTTCAAGGTGCCACCGAACACTTTCCCGTCGGATTATTTTTATATTCATACACGGATAATTTGAGAATGAAAAAAAAACTTTGTTACGAATCGAGTGATACATATTAATGTTGATTCATTAAAATATGATATTCATACGTTGAATGGACACGCGCCCTTCATGCCAGTTACATTTAAATGAAGGTAACAACAGAAAGTAGGTGCGCACAAAAAAGACCGTTCGCTATCAATTCAGTGGTTATGGCAACTCTGCCTACGAGAGAATCTAACTCTGAGATGCTAATGAACACTTTAGACCAATTCATTTTGCTTTATAGCTATCATTACAAAAGCATCGTCGCTACCATAAATTGCATTTTCCACAGAATTTATGATTGCATACAACAAATTCGCTACACGCTTGTTGAGCCTTTTGTGCTTAACGAACATTAAATCGCAGTTGCAATGTGTGCTCCGTTTTATTTACAAACAAAAACAACTTGATAATGCCTTGGCGTTGATTTTTAATCCAAGCGTGTAGTCGGTTCGTTTTTTTTAAACGTGAATTTGTGCCATTCTTGTTGCTTTTTTACACCCCAAGCAAAGTATAACAAATCTGGACGCTTCAAAATAGATGTGCACGTTAATATGGTTTTGAATTTTCAATAGAAAAGTTTTCAATGCAAAACTCATTAAAAATTGCAACTTTTTCTCTGAATTGGATTGCCTTGAATTAGATTTTCTCATACACTCGACGCATTGAGTGAATTGGATTTAAATCGTAAAGCTCATTACAGGACATATTTTCACAAATATACGCCAACATTGAGCACACAAAGGCATTGCTTGGTCAAATGTATAGTGATTACTAAAAGCTGTTTTTTTTTCTTCATAATATATGAGAATGAGATTGCGAATTTTCCAAACCGGTTTAATCAACTTTTCGATGGGAATAAACGATGGCGAAAAGTACCAACTGTATATTTATGCGTTTGACAACAAACAAAATATATTTTATTTGTTTAGCAGCCTAAACTAAAAACCAATTCATTCGTAGATGGTGTATACCCGAGAAGTTTTAATTTAGAATGTCATTATAAAAAGCAATTAAAATTTGTAAATAGTTTATATCAAAAAGGGAAATAATTCAAGTTATTTTTTAATTTTTTTCTGTATATTTATTTGATAGGAAAATGGGGAGCGGTCGGAGCGCTCGCTTGCCACCGACTCCAACACATTCGTCGACAATTCAACGGATTCGAATTGAAGCATCGACGGGATATTCGACGGATTCGACGCCAACGGCTGATGCAAACATCAATGGTTCCGATTTATTGCAGCAGTCACATGTTTTTGATCGCATTAGCGACCATGAACGACAATACATTTTAAACGTATTGGAGCGGAATAACGATGTTCAACAACGCGATGCTGCGCGTCTTGTGTAAGTTTTTTTTTCTTTTTTCATTTGTTTGCTATAAATTATAAAAAATCACATTGAGTTTTATGTGTTATCCCCGCAAATTTGGTATTTTCTTGAAATATTCACTTGGTATTGTTCATTTGTATCATTTGAATGAGTAATTTGGGAATGTTTTGATTGTTTACAAAAGAAATATTCGAGCATATTTCATTCATATATTTGTGTCGTTTATTATATTCTCTAGTTGTTTGACATACCGAGAAAAGTTACACACCATTGAATGATCATTAAATGTAAAGATATTTTTGTATTGGTGTTTGTGCATTCTTTTTTCTAGATAAAACGAAAAATTGAATTAAATTTCATAAAATAAGGCGAACGAGCGCTCGCCCGAAGCTTATATAATTTCATTGTTATGAAGCGAGCGCTTTTTATTGAAATTCCCATTATAAATCATGGAATCGTTGTTGTATTGCCTCTCGTGCTTTTTATGTTTATTTGTGTATTGTAGATTGAGTAGACCATTTGCAGGACAAACACTAAATACATCATTGAATTCTATTGTCATCCATTTTGCACAATGGAGATTTCGACGATTTTCATGAAATTTCCCCATTGTCCATCCGATAATTATTTGAATTCATTATGCGAAGAGAACATTTTCACATTGGTACCCAACTGTGTACTCAATTAAACCAAACACATCGCCACACGAACAATGCCATTTTAAATGTGTACATTTGTGTGTATACGCATTTGTGTTTATTTCAATTGAAATAATCATCAAAATTCCATCAAAGAAATTTTGTTTTGATTTTCCAACCGATTTTTTTTTTATTCACAACAACCGAGAAAAAAAAACTTAACTCAATTATTATATATCCCCTTCCGAAAATTGGACGACCATTGAATTCATCGACAAATACAAACATTTGTACGTGACAGCATCCTTAATTCAGATTGAAAGCAACAAAGGCAATAAAAGTCTTTTGTTGAAAAGTGCCATTCGATCGAGTCAACTACTTTGTGTCAAACTGGGTGTCTTTCTCTGTGTGTGCAGATATGTATACATATGGTGTCAAGAAACCCCAGCCAGCTCAGTCATTTAATACTCGCGCGTAGTGCTTACTATACAGATACGATTTCTTTTGCTTTGCAATGTGCATGAACGAACGCGATGAGGACATTACGACGACATTCCTTTGAGATAGAGACAGAGAAAAATGAGGAAGAAGACGATACACGTGGAATAAGGAACTTTGTACACAATGGAAATCGATTGGGAAAATAAGTGACGAATAAATTGAAGCGTTTTACTCGTAAATGATGACAGATGTGCTTTCCGGATACACACAGAAGTATGCAAAGCAACTGAAATTTTTTTGTTGTCGTATACATAACATTACACCTTGATGATGAATGCGAGATGAAAAACGGAGATGAGAAAACGTGTGCTCAAACAAAAAAAAAAAGAAAAAAAGATGGCACAATAGGCCAACAAAAGATAATGAATTCGAAATATGCTCGGAAAAAAAGCTGTGTTTGGTTCGCGTTTCAGGTGAAATCACTGATTTTTTTCTGTGCTGTTGTTTTCCTGTGTGCTACATTTACAATCACCAACAGATACAAAAAATCATCGACGTTCAAAGCTGCTTTTTTGTTCTCCGTTTTTTCTGAGCGTGCACGTGTGTTTTCCTTTGCTTTTGTTTTGTCATTTTTCGATCGAGTAATTTCGAGTGATGTGGTGCGTTTCAATTGATGCTAACATGTGAACAATTCAAAACCTCATTATGTTTTCTGAACGTTAAAAATTGCTTCTTGATTCGAGCACAATTTTTTTTCATCAACGCCGATTTATTCGTACGGCTTTCCGGAAAGCATATATAAATCATAAAGGTATTGTAGCGTATATATTTTTCTTTTTCTTTGGTCCTGAAAACGATTATTTTCATGTGATTCACTGAGCCGAGAATACAACAACAATCAGCTGACTGAGATGTGCGAAAAGTAAACTTTTTTTCCACCGCAAAAGTCACGAACTGGCTTCAATGCAACGAAAAGAAAGAGAGTAGAAAAAAATCTAAAATCTGATATATTTTTTCAATTCATCGATTTGCTTCATTTTTTCTTCTTCGCCGTCTGTCGCTGAAGGTTCGAAAAATTGTTTATGAAAACTGAAAGGTGAAAGATGTTTTTCTCGATATCATGGTTATCATCGTTACACACCAACGCAGTACCGTTTATTTGACAAATTGTGCACGAAAACAAATACCAAAAAATCATAACTCAACATTTCGCTTTTGTCAGAATTTACTTTGCACAAAAATATTTTATGCAGAAAGTAACGCCGACAAAGAAAAGTAATTTGCTCGATTCACTATAATCCAATCGATTGGATGAATTAACCCTCGGATTATTTGCACAAATGGATACACGTTTTTCTCTCTCACTCTCACCCTTGGCTCAACGTTGGTTTTTGTGCATTGATGTGTGCGTGGAGCTTCGAACAATAGCCGGCATCGGTTGTTGGTCAAAAATCGACCAGATAAATGACTACAATACGCATCATTTATATATTATAATAAGCAATTTGGGATGCGAGAATATGTTTCGTGTGAGTGCAAATTGAGGGATTTAATTCAGTCTAGACTGGAAGGAATACGGTGCATGATAACCTTAAATGCCACCTCCATTTCTATGGTATCTTGTGTATGGAATAAAGATGAAAATGCAAAGCATAAATTTTGCAATGTGTCATTATACAAATGTATCGGTTCCTCACCAAAATGAGATCAGCGTATATGAAATTGTAAGAAAACCGTAACGACATGCCATTTGTCTCACAATACTGAACAGTAGTGGGGCTTTAATTCGGTGGTTTCAAGAAAATTTATGTTACTGTTACACACTATCTCTCTTTCTCTCTTTCACACACAACCATATCACTTTCTCGTTTTCATATTGAAATATTAATACGCGCATAACAATAAAAGCAATAAATGTGTAATGCAAAAAGCATGTTGATAGCATCCGATTACCGACTCTGAGTCCATGTGTCGCATTGAGAGGCAATGGCATCGCTGCGGATGCCACTTCGGTGATTTATTTTATGCATTTTGCGTTTATGGATGGGCGTAAATTTTCAAACCAGTAAAGAAACTGAATAATTGCCCAATTTTATACTCTACAAACTGCTCTCGCATATTTATTTACGGCAATAAATCTGCTGGTGACGACTGAAAAGCTTTAATCGAACGATTATTACCCACACGCAATTGAATCGGAGGCACAAAAAAGCAACCAAAAAATTATCAATAATATTTCAAAAAAACGAACCGAAAATAATTGGATCATCTTTTACTTTGTTATTCTATAATATGTGCTCAACAGTTCCATTCTGCTTTGGAATAAACCATTTTCGTTATCAAATTCACTTTCAAATTTAAATTTATAACAATTTCGCATCGTAAAATTCAATTAAAACGATGAAATTGTTATTGTACGTTTGTTTTCCGTCATGGCCAAGAACATTCGTTCTCATATATTTTTTACTCGGAATAAAGTTCACCATTTTACTATTAAAATAAAAGTAAATGCATCGATATCGTACGATGAAAAAAGCATTGTTTGGTGTAAATACTTTTATTTTGTATGAGAAATGTGAACAGTTTTTTTGTCACTGGCGCCGTCTAGCATAGTTAGCAACAACTACGACAGTAACAAACCAGTAGCTATATTTCAAATAAATGAATGTGTCAGAATAAAAACTCAACTTCATAACTCACCTCCTGCTCACACTTATGGAAAATCCTCCAGGAGAGAGCAAGAGGTGAAATGCGAAGTTAAGTTTTTTCAAGTGAAGTTTCAAAAGTGAAATTATTCGCGGAGTGTATTCAAACTCTGTCTCTACCATTCCTGCTTAGTGTATTTGCGTATTGACGTAAATTGCGAGTAAATAACAGCAAACGGAGTAACGAACAAATTTTTCTTCAAAAAACGTATAGAAGGTTGCGTGTTTTTGGAAAAAATGTTTTATTTTCCTTGGAATTTTGGCATCTGAATTTATTTGGCATTGGAAGCCAACAGTTATCTGGCTTTTGAATTAAGTGAACATACAATGATTTGAGTTTTCCTCACATCGAGTGTTGTTCACATCATTTACAATGTATATTTTAATTAAAATCAGTTAAATGAACATTCCTTTCTTTCTGAAGCATATAACCCTTTTTCTTCTTCAAATTATCGTAAAGTGCACTTGTACTGATGGAAAACCGCAACAATGTAAGCCCGGTTCTCTAGGTAAGCAACTGTTGAGCGTAAGGGTGGCTCAATCAAAATAACAGTTTTTTTTGCGTATCATCAAGTTAACCAAGTGAGAAATGAGATCAGCGAAAACTTTCTAGTTTTCTCTTAAACTTTGAAATTGTATGTTTGGTTTAATGTGTCATATTCGTGGAAATTAGAGAAAACTGTGTAGTACACAGTGTGTACTGTATGTGTGTTTGGAGAAAAAGCAACATCCAAATGACCACAGAATTCCTAAAAAACACAAAAATTCTCTTCTGTGAATCCGTTTTTTTTTTTTCAAATGTTCGAAAAATGTTATGCAAAAGAATCACAACCAAACTGGCGCTGTAAATTGAATCAAAAGATAATAATGATTCGATAAATATGATGAAAACATCAAAAACTTTGTAAAAAAAAACTTTTAATTTTAAAATATTTATACTAAAGTTTGCTGCTCAGTTCAATTATGATGAAAGCTTTGGAGTGCATTGAATTATGGCTTAATTAAAATGTACGCCACTTGAATTATACGCACTTAAAAGTATGAAGCGGGTGAAAATAAGTCGAAAGGAGATGTAGTGCCATTGTTGCTTTATGTGCCTTATCCGATACGAAAATGAAGCCATTAAAATCAAGGTAGATTCGTTTTCTGGCAAACGAAATGATTTATTGAATCGAACAAATTACTTAAATCGATGGAACTCTTCGTGTTCCACTTGAATTTAAATTAATTG